TGCACTTCAGTGTGTTACAAAATTTTAAGGAGAAATGCATTCTTTTAGTACTGCATTTAACAAGATACACTTGTACCTGTAAAGATGCCTTCACATGTAGGCATTTTGATAAAAATGCTTTGCAGTGTTGGGAACATCCAGACTTATAAATGCTCAGGTGTTACAAAGATCACCCTGAAGTTCTTATCTATGGTTCCCTGAAAGTTTACTCACACTGTAAATATATTGGTTTAGGCCCAAAGGGGATTTTTATGATTAGGAATAGAATAAGCATAAAGTGATAGTTCCTGGTTCCTCACTACTTGCAGGTTGGAGACTTCCTTGGCCAGAGACCACTTCTAAGCATTTGGTAATCCATAAGTTTTCTGCAGCACATATTAATGTCTCATGTGACTCAAAGGTGTGACTCATAGGTGCAACATAGAAATTACAATTATGCTTTATCCATATGCACACTTATGATCAGGGGCTGATGAGTACAAACAACTGCCTAGATGACTTTAAAGTTTATAAAGTTTATTACATTGCTAAAGGAACATGAGGAAGCATAGTATCCTTTCAGGCATTAATTTTTCTCCTTTCTGGTGTAAAGTGTTTTTGTTTTTTTTTTTTTGTAAAATGTGTGGGATAGGGCTCTTGAAGTTAACTAAAATAGTAAGGATTCTGGACCTGTCTTTGAGAACCATCTCTTTTCTGATCATTTTCCCTCCCAATTTTCGTTTCTTCTTGCATCTTTTTTTTTCTGTCCTCCATGCATACGTTTTTCTTCTTCTTTTTCTTCTTCTTTTTTTCTATTTTCTTCTTCTTTTACTTACTTTTTTCTACTTTCTAATTTTCCTTCTGTCTCCTAGAGCATTTGTTTCCCAGATAGTATTTTCAATCAAACCACTGAAATGCATATTGCATTTTCATTAGGTAATTACTTGTATAAATCACTCCAAGAGTATTTGAATTAATTTATTTAAAGATGGGCCTTCTACTAATTTGCAGATCTTCACCACCACTCCTGAAAAAAGGAAACAAACAAGCACAAATAAACAACCAACAACTGAGAGAAGATTTGAGACATGGAAAAGATGCATGCCAAAGAGAGCAGTCCACCAGATGGTGGCTATGGATGGGTTGTGGTGGTGTCAGCCTTCATGGTCATGGGTCTGACTGCTGCTGTTCTCAAGACTTTTGGCCTGTTCTTTGTTGAAATCCAGGAGCACTTTGATGAACTTGCAAGCACCATTTCCTGGATCACGTCAGTAACTATTGCCACCTTTCATTTAGGAGGTAGGTAAAAGTGATCTTCAAGAGTTTTGGCTTAAGGTCTTAACTACTCAAGAAACTTTGAAGAGGTTCCTTAAAAACAAAACAAAACAAAACAAAATAAAACAAAACAAAACACAAAGAAACAACAACAACAACAAAAGCCATATAAAACCAAAGCATGTAAAGACAATGCTACCTTATGCTGTTTAAAAAAAAAAAAAAAAAAAAAAAAAGTACCCATGTTAGTGAGGACTCTTTGTGTATACAAAGAAATCAGGTTACCTTAGAGAATTTATGTACCTAGACTCATGATTCAACTTTCCTACGGGCTTTGCATCAAACTCAGTGGAGGTAATCCTAAGAACTTCAGACCGTGTTGGATCAAGCTCTTAAAACAGTTTGTGCAAATTCACTGATTTTGCAGTGACTATCACTTTTTTAAGAGCTTGATGACAAGAAGCGTGACCCTGTCAGATAAGCCATCTGTTGCCAAAATGGTGACTCTCAGTCAGCCCTGCTTCCCTCCCATTTCTCCTTTTTCACTTCACAAACTTCCCCTTTCCTTCTGCATAATGCCAGTTCTGTCTCTCTTGACAAAATTGATTCCAAGTCAATGATCTGAGAGAAAGCTCATGAAGTTAAAATAAAAATAACAATAAAAATAAACAGTTCACCTATGGAGAGGAAATGGAAGACAAGAATATACAAACAGAAAGGAAAGAGAAAGTAAACTATACCAGTCAAATGCAGTCAGTGATCTATTGGGTCTGGCCAAATTCCTGTTTTTGCCAAACTGAAGGAAGAATATCAGATGTACTGCATTTGGCTCTTCACTTAGTAGTCATTTACAGTCTTTTTTGCCATTGTAAACTGGATCATCCTTTATCTTTATAATGAAGATTCCAAGCGTGCAGGCAGAAACTGCACAGAACTTGTGAGGCCCTCTCTACATATTCTCAAATGGGTATATAATTGCAACAGGTAAGCATCCTTATGTAAGAAATGTTATCATAATTTTGATTGTGAAGATGTTTCATTGCATAGATGCTGTACAATTATATACCTCCTACTCAGTCCACACCTACCAGTATTATTGGTTATCATTGCATTACTTCCAAAGATCAACTGATTTATCTTTGTGAAGTTTATTAGGAAGAACAAAACAGTAATTCAAAATCAAAGTCAAAAGATAAAGCAAAACATGGATTGACAGGATTTTGTTAGTTCCATAAACTGCTATCCTTGCTTTATTCAAAGTATTGTTTCATTCTGACAGAAATAGTTAATTAAAAATTCAATGAGAATTCTGCTTTTCCATCTATTTCATGGTCTACAGAAATAAATAAATGGGAATCTAACAATTTGGTTTACAACCTAGCCTAATCAGTGACCTAACTGTGATACTGTTTTGTCATTCATGCATATGAACTTAGTGTAGAAAAAAAAAACAAACGGGGGGGGGGGGGGGGGGGGGAGGGGAGGGTGGAGGAGGGCAGATAAAAGAACTCAAAAAAAAAAAAGTGTTTTTGTTTGTTTACTTGTTTTTAAAATATATTTACATTATATGGAAATGTCTTACAGATAGAACAGATTAAATGACATTGCTAATGTCAACTGGCAAAATTACATTTGTCTAGCAGGTGTAAGGCTGGTATACTTCAAAGAAAGCAGCTGTAGTTTTCAGCAGAAATTGTTTCTCAGTCTTCAAAATCCTTTTAAAATACATCTCTTACGGCTTGATGGCCAAACATTCTAAAACCTTTCTGTATAGCAGTTCACAATTTCTTGCATCACTCATTAATTTTCCTTCTTCTCCTGCCTTTGCTTCATTTATAGGGATCAGAAGACTTTCTGCTGAAGATCATCTGAGCCACCAGTTCTTTGAGCATCTTTCCTGGCCTGGCTTAGTCTTTCCTAACATGTTCCACTGGGACACCTTTAGTGTCATTTGGCTCAGTATGAAGGATGATCGGTGAATTATTAATTTTTTCCCATTTGGATCTTTTCAACATCTTTTCAGAATCTCCATGTCTTTCATGAAAGGAGAGCATGTTTCTGCCTGGGGGCTTGCATCTGTAACAGGCCGTTCAATTTACCAGAGCAAGGATTTCCCCATCACATACATAGACCTCCTCCTGGTAGTAGCATGTATCTCCCATCACCTTTCTCTTTGGCACTGTGGTTGCTTGTAAGTTTTCTAAGCATTGTCCTTTATCCGTTCAAGCTCTGATCCCTTGCTGTCTTCTTCACTTCCAGTTCTGTGACTAGTTCCTTTCTTCTTCTTGCTGTCCTGTGTTCAATTTCTGTTTCTTCTCTTTCTCTACTAAAAAAAAAAAAAAAAAAATTGCTCTGTGGTAGCAGTTCTGTTCCAATTGCAGATCTCTCATCATTAAGCACTTTATGGATCTTTCTTGTTACCCTCAGCCTACTTTTCTCTTCTTTTGCTCATCATATGTGTATGATTCTCCAAATGCATACACTTCATTCTGTCTCATCCCTTCCACTAAATCTTACAAACCACACCTGAATTCCAGCATCAATTGCATGCGCTTATCAAATCATTGTATTTTTGCTGTAAATGCTGATAGGACTTGTTGGGTTTGCATAGCTTCTCTCAGATAACATGCATCATACAGCCTTTATGGTTGTTAATATCTCTCTGTCAGGTTTACTTCGCTTGTCTTAGTTACCAAAGTCTCATCTTACTTAAAAGGGGGAGCGGAAAACAGCCTGCCCCTACATCCTACCACAAAACCTTATTTGCTGACTGCCCTCTCTTCATTGTCTTACCACTTATTTCAATGTGTAAACAAGGCCTTCATTAATTTAATTTCATTACATCCCAGAACTCCAGAGTCCAAAATATCAATAACTCTGATGAAGCTTACCTGTATTCTCTAAGAAGCCCTACCGAAAAACGGGTTTTGTCCCGTGTTACTTGGGTTCCATCTAGTGGCCATTTTTATTTCATAAATACGTGAACTTTATCCCCACAGAACAGAGTGCCTTCGGTGACAGGAATGGTCTTATTAAGGTATACCATAAAGTATACCTTAGAGCATACCGTATACTACATATACTATATTCTATATAAAGTATACCATACCATAAAGTATAAAGTATAAATAAAGTATCCTATACAACTAGAACTTGGTGCTGGTGGAAAAACAATTAGGCAAGAACAGATCTTTGATTAAGCAAAAAACATTCCTAACATTTCTTTGTTGGTATTTTTGTTTGTTTGTTTTCAGAAAAGTTTGTTTGTTTGCAGCACCAAGTTGTGAGATTGAGGAAAAAAACCTCAGATCTGTACTTCATGTAACTTTTCCTCTCTGTGTTGAAGAGTTCCCACAGTCTGCTGAGAGGAACTGTACCAGTCAAATACAAATTTAAGAAATGAACTGCAGAATTCCTGGAAAAATGTTACCTAAAAACAAACCTCAACTTTTTGTCCTTTATAAAACTTCTCACAATTTCATGAACAGATGATTTTGCAAAGTGTAGAAGGTAAAAAGCTGATGTTCTCCAGAAACCTTTTGTGCCAGCCATATATATTTTATGTTCACAATAATACATTTTTGTAGGTTAAGATAGACATTTCTATAGATTAACCTAGAGATTCTGAGGACAGGGCTAAAGGGCTACATAAATTTCTGTCATGCAGAAAAGACACATGGTCGTGTCTTTATATCCAGTAGAACCATTCCATAAAGAAAACACTGAAATGTTCTTTCAATTAAAAAACAACAACAAAAAAGTCCACGTAATGTTTTTTTTTGAATAGATATGTGTGTTTTGTTTTGAATCTGTGTTGCCAGGGCTGTCATTTCCCTATGAGGCAGGATCTTGATCAGCCCTCGTGTCCAGCAGAATACAGCAGAATTCAGGCTGTGGCATTGTCTCACACATGCACCACAGCCCCACAGAACAAAGGACTGGGTATTTGCTTCTTTGAATAAAAGCTATTTCATTTTTGAATGCTTGATTCGATTGCTCTATCACATCAATCAGCTTAACGTTCCTAACGTATTTATCTTGCTCCTGTTCTGCTGTTGATCTAGCCCCTGTTGCCAGCTCACTATGCGTAAAATACTCCCATCGGGCAGTTCTGGTCACCGGAGGACTCCTCGCTTTTTCAGGAATGGCACTGGGATTTCTTGGGCTCAACATGGTCTGGATGTATGCAACAACTGGCTTCCTACAGGGTATGACTTAATGGCTTTACAGGTTTCTTTCACTAGCAACTCAGAGCCCTTATGCTAATAGTAGGAGTTCTAAAACTTCAGTTCTATTTTGATTTTATAAATATCTGAAACCTTCAACCATCCTTAAAAGTTGTTCTCCCCATGTTCCACTCTGGAATTTGTGCTAGAAAACTGAATGACATAATAAAGTAATAATTAGATGCTAGTAATTTTTACCTCCTAATTATATGCCACTAGCAAATGGGAAGTGTTTTATCCTTTTAATCAGAGCTAAGAGCTCTGTGAACATCTGAAGAGCCTAATGGATGCTGAAGCACAGTGACCTAGAGATCCCAAATTTTGTACTTTCTATCACATAATACTACATTTTGAACACCTTTCCTGGTTTTCAGTTGATTGAAATCCGTTGCTTCACTCCAGGTGAAAACAGGCCAGAAATTTATTTTCAACTAGGATTTTCCTGGAACAGGAAGCCACGCTGGCAGGGAATAAAATAAGCCATTCCCAGTTGCATGCTGGATGGCTGAGAAAATGTCTGGAATTTGAGTCCTTTGGCAGTCCTGAGCCTGCTAAGTAGTTTTTAGAGAGCCATTGAAATTAAATTAAATTAAAGCAGGATCAAAGTCAAGCAGTCTGGCAAAACAATGAAAAGTAGAGGTAATACACCGGCTTCCTTCGCATCCTCCTTCACCTCCTAACCCTGAACAGAACTCACCTTAATGCAAAGATCTGATCTAGGACCGTCCTCAATTAGGTCAGAATGAACACTACTGGTCTATTTAGTTTCAACTCCACAGTCATATGATTTCTAATCTCGTGGCAAATTTGTCAAAACAGTGGTTTATTTTTATTTTTACCCCCCTCCCCCCCCCCCCCCCCCCCCGATTATTTTTATTTTCCTCCTTTTTTAACTTTGCGAATGTAAGAGTACTGACTGTTTTAATTTCCAGCTTCACAGAATACCTCAACAGTTTCTAACTGGTGCTACTTGTATTGGTGTTTTTCAGGACTTGGGATTTCCTTTTCATGGACACCAGCCATTAGCATTGTTAGCCATTATTTTTCCAAGAGGAGAGCTTTGGCTAATGCTATTGCCAGTGCTGGAGAATGTGCATTTGCATTTACATTTGGGCCACTCTTCCAGTGGTTGATTGGCCAATATGGATGGAAAGGTGCCCTCTTGATCATAGGTGGCATCCAACTCAATATCTGTGTCTGTGGAGTGCTCATGCGACCCTTGACAAGCAACTGCTGCCTTGAGGCGAGCCATTCTGAAACACCACCTGACACTGGTGCATCTAGGATGGAAAAAGAAGAAAGGTCTTCTTCCACCCACAAAACCTTCAACTGGATGCTTGTGAGGAGACCAGAGTTTGTTCTTTATGCCATGTTTGGCATTTTAGCTGCTATGAGCTTTTTTGTTCCTCCGTTATTTTTAGTTCCACTTAGCTACAGCCTGGGAATAGATGAATCTTGGACTGCATCCCTCCTATCCATTTTGGCTATGGTGGACTTCGCAGGCAGACTGCTATGTGGCTGGTATGCCAATCTCCATGTTACCAAAACTATTCATTTACTGACAATGACAATTACACTGATCAGCACTTCCTTGATGCTGTTGCCTCTGGCTAACAATTACCTGTCCTTGGCAATATTCACTGGCTTCTATGGATTCTTCTTTGGCACAACAGTTGCCGTTCACATTACAGTGCTAGCAGATGTTGTGGGCATGTCAGATTTTGACAGTGCTCTAGGGCTTTTCATGCTCATTCGAAGCACTGGAGGTTTTCTGGGGCCTCCTCTTGCTGGTAAGTTGATACTTCACTAAGTACAGTTTACAAGAGTATGAGGAGTGGTAACCCAAACTGAAAAATCTATATCTGGACCAAATTTTGCCCTCTGTTAGCTCAGGAGTAACTGGACCAAGAAGTAAATAAAACAAAGAGTCAGTTTAATTCCTCTAAAAAATATCTTGCTTCCTCTCTTCTCTGTGGTTTTAGAGATACCTCTTCAACATGAAAGCAGGGAAGAATGGCAGGGTTCATATGGTGTTCCTGTTTCCTGAATCACACTTGATGGACTCCCATTCTCTTGTTATGAAAGTGTGCCTTTGGAGCAAGCAGCAGATCCATACTTGCAGAGGAGATACTGTTGGATTTTTGGAACTTTGAGACTAATGGTGTTGCATAAATGCTGGTATTGTTTGGAAGGTTTATACAGAAGGTCACATTTAACAGCTTGAAACAGTAGGTTATGTGAACCCAGGAAATATTCACAGAGATGCCTGCTGTTTTCAGACAGTATATGAGCTAATCAATATAATAAATGGGGAGGCAGCATTAAAAAAAAAAAAAAAGTAGAAAGAGAAAGCAGATGATGAGACAGTACAAGGCTATTGGTTGGCAGTAGGCAAGAGTCATCTTGGAAAAATGCAAGGAAAACTAGCTGTAGGCTGTAGGGACTTGATGAAGTGATATGGCAGAAAAATGGCCAATGTAAAAAGTGGATCTGAGCCTTCATCCAAAAGCCACTGAATAAAATGAGACTGCTCACAGACTACCATGACTTCTGTGGTAATGACACCCCGTTATAGGCTGCAAGTGGGTCAGAGTAAGTATGGTAACACTTTAATCTTCTTTTGAAGATACAGAAATAAGGAAGATTATGGAGAACTTCAGATGAAACAGTATCCAAATTATGCCAGGAAGATCTTAATAAACTACGACAGTAACAGGACTTACAGATACCGTGCCTAGTCACAAACAATGATTACTTGGGGATCACTGTGATCCCTTTTGCGTATAGGCAGCAAGCAAAAAAGAATGTATAAAAGCAGAGGGAACCTTTAGTGCTTTACTAGCTCTTCCCTCCTACTCTAAGAGTAAAACTCAAAAGATTTGGTTTCAGTTCGTCTGTCTGGCAGGACTGATGTGAGATAGGAGTGGGAGCTGCCACTGTACCCACCGAGCAGCCAGTGCTATTAGTGCATGCACTGCGACAGCACTGCTACTATTCAACTGCTTCTTCTGCATGGTGCACAATGGCTTAGGTCTTTCAATTGGGTTAAAGCTACCTAAAAAACAGCGTCTTCTCTTTCAATAACGCCTATGACTGAAAAATGTTTAGCAGAGGTCAGTAGTAGCACTATAGGCAACCTATCAACCTGTGTCCAGCAGAGGGCATCTCCCTTCTTTCTTTAAACTACTGCTCAACACCTGAGGTCGAATGTACAGTGTCTGATGATAACTACACCTCAGAATATAGGGCTAAGATACAAAGCTGCACGATTTGTTTATTTTTCTGCCATTGCCCATCATACCCAAAATATTGCCCATTATATTTTGGGTTGGAAAGTGTTTCAAACTGTATAACATTATGTTTTACTAGCAGCTCACATATAATGTAAATGAGAAGTGAATTGTGTTTTGTATTTTAAAATGTTATAATGGACCAATATTCTACGCACTTATGGGTTAGAAATCTGCAACACAGTTATATAGCCAGTAGTCTCCCTTGAAGAGAGGATATGTTCACCCTGATGAGCTAATTCACATTAGCCTGTTTTCTATCAGTCACATTACTGTCTTTTTTTTTCTTTCCAGGTCTGATTGTGGACATGGCTGGAGATTACAAAGCAGGCTTCTACATGGCAGGAGCCACTCTTGTCCTAGCAGCTGTATTTTTAGTTATTTTAGATCAATTTCAACAAAGAAGTGAAAGAGGAAGTCAGACTAATACTAAACCAGATAAGTCAACATTGCCATACCCTTCTCTCCATTTCCTGAAACTGCAAAACAGAAGGTATCAAGAACATGATGTAGTGGTGTGACTACATTGGACATCTTACAACTTTTCAGCACTTGTCCGATTTTCTCCAAAGTCAATATTAGTAGGATTTTTAAAAAGTTTGGGATAGGAATGTTTGAAACAGAGGAAGAAAATCAATAATTCACAAGCAAACAATACCTGTAACCATTGACATATTATTTTGACGTTGAAGTTCCATTTTAACTTTACAAGTCTTCAGCACAGTCCCATAAAGCTGTGATAAGCAAGCTAGAGAATCTATGATCTAAATTAAATGCTTGCAAGGCTTTAACTGGAAGACATACGTAAAGTGCAAAAGCATAAAGTGGGATAAGAATGAGAAATGTTTAAAAGGAAAAAAAAAAAAAAGCTTAAAGAAAAAATTTAAAAAATAAAGGCTGTCCAGCTTAGAAAATAAAAGGTTTAGAGAGTATGAAAACAGCCTGCAGTAGTCAATAGTCTGAGATAAAGAAAACAAAATTAATTTATTTTCTTGTTTAGGCAATCAGTAATTGGTATGATTTACAGCAAGGCAGTGTTATCTCATGGGAAACAAACAAACAAACAAACAAAAACCACACCATTACCAACAACAAAAAAAAACTCATTCTAGACAGTTAAGCATAGAGAATATTGGGAGAATAAAATAACACAGAGATATCAGAGAATAGATGAGATGAGAGAGAATCTAAATATACCCAGTTCTGCCTCAGAATAGTGGGATGGACTAGATGATTTCCTGAATTCCTCTTTAGTTCTACATTGCAATTATCCTAAGGCTCTTTGAGCATGTATTTGATTTATGAGAACAAAAAGAGTCTGTATCCAAATCATATCTTTTCTGTAATTTTATTTTATCTGGGGCAGAGGTAATAGAGAAGAGAGGAAGGACCGGATCACACAATAAAAATAGGAAAGAAAAAAAAAAGCTGAAGGAAAAACATAGCACTTTAGGGCTTTCAAGCTACACCAAATATTATAGTTACCTTACTTATGAACTTCGGAGCGTTTGTTCATTGAAACATTTTAACTGCATAGCCAAGTTTAACATTAATCACCCATCTACAATAATTATTTCTCATCCTATTGAAATAATAATAATTTCAAAATTTTAATTTAATTTACAGGACATTAGCTGAACTACTAATAAACTATCTGTGAGGGCTGGATTACAGAACACAGGCAAAGACTTGTAGCAAGGACTTGAAATTTCTGGCAAAATATGTTTCAGTCATTTCAATTTAATAACTTAGATTTCTGTGGAAATCTAAGTCACTGCAGCTTTCTGATGCTCAAAATAACGCTTCATTTTTTTAGATTGAAAGAGGAATTGTTGGAGGGAGAACGAATGGAGAGACATTTCATACAGGCCATTTCCTTTCTATTAAACTTCTGTATTTTCAATTAAAATTCTCTATTTTATTTACAATCCCTGTCTCCAATTTCTGTGTTTTGAGGCATCTTGACATCTGCCAAGGGCAGAACAGGAGGCTGGCAGCATCTGGGGCTGTGGGCACAGGGGCAGTCAGCAGATCAAGGGAGGTGATTTCTCTGCCCCCTCCTCCATCACCCCAACCCATGAAGAGAAGAGGATGTTCATCATAACTGAAAGGTCCCCTTACCCACACTTAATGTAGCACATTTGTTGTTGATGTAGATCCAGTACTGAAATACTGAAGTGGTTCTACCGAAATTCCCAGCAAACACAAAACTAAAACCTTTATCAAGGTACATATGTTTCTTTGCTCTGCCTGCTACAGGAACCTTTAAATGCCAGTGAAAAATAAAGACTATCAATTAAGGGAAATAAACAAATTAATAAAAATCTCATCCTAGAAAGATGGAATCACACTGTCAGCAGAATAAAAACAACCACCATTCTTTTTAAAAGGTCAAGTATATTATTTTCAGTTATGGGGGAAGCATCATACCTATCATCAAGATTCATCAGTGTATAGGTCTGCCACAGACTGCTGGCTGTGAGAAAAAGTCTGGATTTCTTTGGTGTTTCTTGTAATTATACCTCCTCTTCCATCTTCTGCTCCTGAAATGTTAGGTATTAAAAGGTAACACCTGTGAAATCCTTGCATAAATTCCAGTGACTGTATACTCAAGGCATTAGCAACATCACCTCAGAGAAATTGTGTTTTGTAAGGAAACTAAAATCAGAACTAGAACATGGTGTTTCACCTTCTCATCCACCCAATTTCTCAATAGCAGCATTGTGCGTTTATATATCAGCTGGCACCACATACTTAGGACAAAGTTGTCCTCTCACCCCACCCCACCCCATCCCATCCCCCCACCCCTTTTATTTTACTGTTAACAAGAAATTCTTTCAGATGTAGAATATTCGATCAGTTGAAACTCTCCCCCCCCCCCCAGCACTGCTTGAGGTAAAGAAGGAGCAGAAACCACTGCTTTTGGTATCACATGGATTTTCTGTGTCAGCTTTGCTTATTCTGGAACAAAGAATACTCTTCAGTCAGAACTCCCTCCCAGAAGTGAAGCTTTTCTTCAGTAAAACACATGGCTTGATAAGGAACTCTGTGACATTTTTAAAGTATTACCCAAGGGCCAGCATGTTTCTTTGGGACTTTGTTAGACTGATAGTGTACATTTACCGTTTTACATAGGTATCTACAGAAAGTTTCTCTGTATCTCATTCACACTTGAAACTCTCACTAAATTAATCTGGAATACTGTAAAAGAAACACCAAATCATTTTAGGTAAATAAGCAAATTTATGCTCCTTACTGTTTTTCGTTCTTCCTCCCTTTACTCCTTCTGAAAACAACAACAACAACAAAAACGGTTGTTTCAGACTTTAATGGGTCTTGTGGTGTTAATCACAGAATACCCGGATGGCTGAAGTTGGAAGGGACCTTTGAAGGTCACCTGCTCCAACCCCTGCTCCAGCAGGGATGCCCAGAGCTGGTTGTCCCAGGCCACCTCCAGGTGGCTTTTGAAGGTCTCCAAGGGGAAGACTCCGCAACCTCTTTGGGCAACCTGTGCCAGTGCTCGGTCACTTGCACAGCACAGACGTGCTTCCAAGTGCTTAGCTGGAATCTCCTGTGCTCCAGTTCGTGACCACTGCCTCTTGTCCTGGCACTGGGCACCTCCAAAGAGAACAATCCAAACAAATATCCCATCTAAACAAGATAAGATTTTTACCTTCATTGGGAAAAAGCATGGGAACACACAAGCAGAAGAAATGATCTGGCACTTCCCAGCTCCATGATCACTGAAAATATTGATGTTAAGGCTTTCACCTGATTTCCTAAGGAAACGGATGTTAATTTCACACCCTATTCTTACTGTTTTTTGAACTTGCCAACCAAATTTAGAGCCAGGTTCATCTGTTCAAAGATAACCAAAGTCCTTCAAACTTAAGCAAAAATTTATGACAGAGAGGTCAAGTTATTTATTCACTGGGGAAAAGGGTGAACAGAACATGGACCTTCATGGTCCTTGTATCTTTTGGTAGATACCAGCATTTCTGGACCACCATAGAACACAGAAACTTTGGATTAATTAAAGACTGTTGTTTCTTGTCTGATGTTATGAACAAAATTAGTGTAACGTATGTGCATACAAAAACAGAGATGATGATAATTCACATAAAATCCACAAAACCAGGCCCTATTAATTGTGCAGCCCATAGAAGAGAGTTTCTTCTTGTTGCAGCATTTGCTTGCCAGTCCAGAATTTAACTGTACTTGCTCTAATCTAAGACACTTTGATCATAGCATAACAGCATCCATCTCTGAGTTCTGCTCCACAGAACTTTCTGCTCGGTGTTACAATGGTACAAAAAGCATGGATAAAAAAAGCTTTAGTTAAACACTTGCAGAAACTCTGTTTACATCAACCCTCAGCAAAAAAAAAAAAAAAAAAAAAAAAAAAAAAAACAGCCAAAAATCAAAACATGTCTTAATCTAGGAGTATGTTGCCCACTTCAGGAAGTCATTCTGTGTAGGCAGGTAATGGTGTTGAGCCATTTCTAAGAAGGCATGTAATAACATGAAGAAATAACAGACTTCTGAGCCGCTTGTGAAGAGGGAAGGATACAGACTATGAGAAGAAAGTGAAAAGTTGTCTACTGGCCCCTTTCACGCTAATTAATGCATTCAGAAGCTGTACTGAAAGGAATTTAAACTCGTGATAGTCATAAGAGAACAGATCAAAGAAGGAAAAAAAAAGAGATCAAGTCAAAGAAAGCTGTACATGCTTTTAGTCAACAGACAGAATACAAGTCTGAAGGAGGTAAGATTTGTATTTTTTTTATTCTACTCAAACTTTTCTATCTTGATTAAAAATTATGCTTCAGCAGAGGCTTAACTGACTCTTAGTGAGTTTTGAAAATATTTTGCTTCCTTGGCTAGAATTCTCTTCAGCAAGGTCACCAGTTTTTATATTCACCCCAGTAAGGTAGGAAGATGTGGTAGATACAATCAAATAGGATCTGTTGTCGTGCTGCTTAAATGACAGAAACATGATTACTTGTGGATTTTCCTTTGTAACTGTTCAGACTATTTTTAGTTGGAAGATTACTTTCTTAAAACTGAAACTTAAGATTATAACTTCCCTGCATTCCTAAATGCAGCTTGTCAGCAGGTATAAGTTAGTAACCATCTGAAATCAACAGATCTTTGACAATTTATGTTGACTGAACATCTGGCCTTTGAACATTTATAGAGATTAATAGAAATAAAGAAACACATCCCCAAAGGCATATAATATGCATATAATACTATATGCATATTTTTTCCCAAATATTTCTTTCTGTTCAGGCAAAATACCTTTTTTCTTCTCCCTATATACCTAAGAGACTTTAATTCAGAACTGTTATCAGTTGGTGCCTAGAGAGACCATGTCAGATCATAGTCTGGTGCACTCAGATGCAAGTAACTTGGTGACAGTGGAACTGTTCATAGTTACCGTTTTGAGTTTTGCCTTAAATTGGGACAGTTTCAAATATATATGGATCTATATGGACTCTATCCTGAAAATAACAGATTGTCCTATCTCTCCTAAATGATCATACTCAATGAAAAAGTTGATAATATTATGCCTTAAAGATAACAAATTATTTCTTGCACTTTAGGGCCATAGTTCTGTCCTGTGGGTTTGAACAAGACTAAAGTCTCAAAATGCCCAGAAGAAACCACCATCCAGATGGCAACTTTTTCAGAGGAAAAGGACACAGCTATCTTGCATTAGAAGAGTAAGCATAAACCAAAACCTATTTTAGCATGTAAGCTGAAAGAAAAAACTTACATTGAAAAGAAATTTACAAAATAGTATCAGAAAAAAAAATCTCTGATGTATGTAGGTGTAGTGCATTTTGTCTGTTTTGTAGCTGTCTGTAATGTTTGTCATTGCATTACCTAAAAATGCATGCAATGGTTAAGAAAAATAAGATCTGCAGAACTCAAGAATATGGAGATTGATTATATGATCGCAAGTAATCAGCTATTACAATAAAATTGCTGGGCTTATTGAGGATCACTTAGAATTACATTTCTGAGGCTGGTGCAATGTGATATATACAGTAAGATTTGCCTCCAGGTCTACATACCTCTCTTCAGAATCTCAAAAAGGCATCATCTCACCCTAAAGAATAACACCAGTGAAATGGTAAAATACCATCAAAAACCAGTAGAGACATCAATGCCATACAAATGTGTCTCTCAGTAAGTCATTTCTGGTTGAAGCTCAAGTTAAGCAGAATTAATTCAAGCTAATAATTTGTGATCTTTGGCTTACAATAAACTATGTTGCTTCTTGGGTTACTAGAGACACTATCTCACTGGTGATGTGTTATTATTTTAGGCAAATATTTCTGATGTGTTTGGGATATCTTTATGTGGAATACTCTTCTAGCACTGGTTCGCTGGACTCCGAACTTTGTGACTTGTACCATACACACATGTATTGCAACACATTTGTTTTTATATGTTCATCCCTGGGCACAGAGAATAGACGAAGGGTAAGACTCTTCATTCCACAACGAATGCTCTGTGCCTTAACAGACAGTACATTAGTGCAAGAGGAAGAGGTCTTTATGACAAGGAAATGTGCAATTACCTTGTCACCCTACTTTCTGATAAACAGTGGAACTATGCCTTCTATTCTAAGCCCTGGTGAGCAGTGGGAAAGATTTCTCTCAGCATAGTTTGCAAAGACCACCTTCCCTAGAACGACTCAGTGACATCAATACTGTGCCTAGTATGACAGGAAACGAGAACTTAAGAATTACAGAACTGTTTATGAAAAAAATAGTTTCTTACAAGGTTTTTGGGATTGTGTAGTGCTTTATGTACCTAAAACAAACAAACAAACAACAACAACAACAAAAGCCAACCTTCTGCTACCAGGCTGTGTTGTAATGTGATGCAATTAGGATTCTCAATACTTACTGCCTGGAGAAATTTAACAAATAAACACGAGATAAGTCTCTGCAGGTATAGCATTTATTTTATTTCTCATTCTCTTCCAATATCAGAATGATGATTGCTAGACTTACAGGTATGGACTTTTTTTAGAAGCACTGGTCACAGGTAGATTATTATCTTTGAAGCTATATATTCCTCATTTTTAAAATGTTTACAATCTTGGCGGAGAACAAACTCGTCAATCTACAGAGACTGGCTGAAGTTACTGATGTTTTGTTTTCTGAGGCAAATCCTGCTTCATGCTTGCCTCTAATAAAGGGATACAGATATAAGCTTTTGTGCTAACCATTCTTGCTCCCAAAATAATGCATCTAGTTCTGCTGTTAATTATTTTGTTTTGCTTTCTTAACAGAGCCCTGGGTATTGGAATCTTCTTTTTGGTGCTGGCCATGCTATTTATCTTTGGCTGCTGGTATTACAAGAGATGTAGTGGCTATAAAAGTCTACGGGTAAGCACGGCAGGTTGCATATTAGCATTTTGAAAACATATTATCATTATTTGCATTACATTAATGGAGAGAACATCAAACCTGTCATAAGACATCATTGTTTCTCACTAACATACACATGGGTAAAACTATGCAATATGAAGCACTACCCACCCTGCAGAACTTGCAAATCAGGCAGAGGAAACAGAAGCATGGGGATGTGAAGCCAACTGCCCAGCTTTGCACAACCCACCAGTGGAAAGGCTGATCTATAGGAAGCATTATATTTAAATGTACAAAAAACCGTGTTTTCTGTGCTGTATACTGGCTGCTCAGTGGGTACAATGGCAGCTCTATCTTCTTCAATAATATTTTTTTTAAATGATATTTCATCCATCCCACAAAATGTCTCAAAGCTTTATCTTCGAAGCTCTGTTCTCTCTCCTGTGAGAAAGAGGCAGTTTTTAACCATGTAAGTGGCAAATATCTTTTAGTTACCCTAATATTTCTAAAAAGACTTAATCATTTTTTATTAAAAAATATAACCCTTGTCAGCAAATCAATTTCCTTGATGTTCCCAACAATTTTGTCCTATTACCTTTCCAGTGACCTATCCAATAGGCACATCCACTAGAAGAACACATAAAACTTGAACTGCCATATAAAACAGATTTCTTTCATTCCTGCACATCATGGTAAAAAGTACAATGTCTTTTTTAATTCCATCTCACTGCAGATACTTTTTGGTTTTTAAAATCTTATTTTTGCTAGGATTTTTGGAAAGGGGAAAATTGGTAAAGTATGTACAAAAACATGATGGAAAATGGAAAAAGGTTGAGCTTAAAGACAGAAATGTGTGGAAAAAAAGGTCCCTGCAGTGGTCATGGACCTTAAAATGCAATCCCCATTTTTGATGGCAATATAACTGGTGATGTAGGAGGCAGAGCATGTCTTGGCAGAGACAGCAAAAAGTGCTAGATAGATTGCCTCTCTTACTTGCTGCTGTTGTACCTAATCCCAGATTCTAATAAATACTGTAAAATACTGTCGAATATTAGAGGATCACAGAATCACAGAGTCATTTAGGTTGGAAAACACCTTAAAGATCATCAAGTCCAACCATACAATACCTTGATGTAGTGTACTCCAGCTTCACATTTTCTTTTCTCTTTCACCTTCCCCGTGTTTCTTCTTGATCTGTCACAGAGCAAAAGCACTAGCATGGGCACAATACGAACCGTGGTAGGTGAGGGAAGAATAGTGGACTGCAAAATGGCTCTGCAGGAGTACAGAAACTTTGATTCTGTGGTAAGTTGCAACTCGGGGCCTTATTTACTTAAAATGTACTAAGATACGGTAAGACAATCTTGGTAAACAGTCATTCAAATAATTCTTTCTTAGGTTGTGCTCTCTAGATTGGATCTTCAATGACCACAATAACTGTTAAGAAGTAGTATTTTGTAGAATTTTTACTGTGATTTTTTAAATTACTATTTAGATAAATACTAATAATAATTCTTTTTTAAAGAAAAATCTCTTTCACCTACTTTTCCTAAGTTGTCTGACAATTTTGCAATCTATTAGCATGATGCAGCATGTGAATGTTGAAATACACTGTTATACATCTTATATATTATATTAGATATATATATATTAGGATCATCTATTATATACATAATATACATAACATACATTATATAATATATAATATATACATAATAGATGCTCCTAGTAGATGTTACCCTGTGCTGACTGACAGCAAGTAGATTGTGTCTGGTACACTGCAACCTGTGGGAGCACCACTTCAAGGTTTTAGCTACCTTAATCACTATGGAAAGAAAGAATAACATTCAAAACCACATAATTTTTAAACATTTAAAATAACTTAATTGATAAATTTACATGTCAAGTCATGGCTGTTGTTTAAACAGTTTGAGAATAGTGAAAAGGGTAATTTATAACCAATTTTAAATAAGCTTCCCAAATTGTTAACATTGCAAATAAGATAACTTACATGTGTCAAGACTCTTAAAGTCTTATGTATCAGTTTGAAATCTTAACATATAAAATATTTTCCGTATAAAATTGCTATCTTAATAAATTTAAAAATTATTTATTTGGACGAATGATACAAGTGATACAAACAAAATCATTTTAATATGATGCAAACCCAGAAAACATGTTAGAAAAAAATAAACTTAGATAATATAAAGACATAATGAATTAGCTTAGCTACTTTAAGCTATAATACAACTTCTGATCTGAAAGCAAATACTTCCTTGCATATTTAATTTCATTTTCTTGTTCCTTAATTGTTTTTTCAATCTTTCACACCAATTTTCTTACCACAGGTACCCGATGCTCCACCAGCTTATGAAAAAATTGATGCAGATCAGTTACCACCACCTTACTCACCATGATCTTAACAACAGATCTTAAACTTTGAGAACATCAGCACAATTTCTTCATGCTCCCTCTTGATTTCCTGTACAAGCTTAACATTCTTAAAGCTAAAACTGTAATAAAAATCACATGCTTTCAAAAGCAATTGCTGAAAATTATTCCTGCATAGTTTACAGAACTAGTTCTTGAAATGCTTCAATAAAGCTGAATGTACTTGTTTTAAGTTCTTCATTTCCTATGGTCAGATTAATTCACTGTGCTGAACTGTGGGCATCTTGCCTCCTTCACAGATCTACCAACGGTAAATACACATCATAGGTGAGCTAGAAAGTGCTGGCAACTTTGTTTACATCTTCCCTGCTTACTCCCCCCTCCTCCCCCCCTTTAATTTAAAAAAGACACAAACAAACTATTTCCTGGAAAGTAATATACAAGAATCTGTCATAAAACAGGCAAAAATATTTGACTACATGTCCTGTTGAAAAAACAAATGATTTTCCCTACCAGCAGTTCTAAAAATTAACCTGCCCAAGGAGACTATATGTTACAGCAGTCTTGTGGCTCACATCACTGGTATCTGGAAAGAAACAATTCCTTGTGAAACATAAAATATGATCCACACATTTTAATAATTTCTGCTCACAGGCCATGTTATTTCACACCCGTCAGTGGGTATAAAGATGATCACACTGCTGTCCTGGCAAGAGAGAAGAGCAATAACAGAAAACAAAGAATTCTGATACATGTAAATTAAAGTACATTGCTTTGGCAGCTATTGCTTACTTAGCCTTTAACTAAACAATTGCCAGATTATTACTTAATATTATATGCAGATCAGCAAGTTTATACCCAAGGCCTGATATCTTACAATAGGAGGCAGCTAAAACTGTACAATATTCATTAAAGAGGAAAGCAGTTACAGAAAAAATATACATATATTTTAACAGAACAGTTATTAAATGCAATTAGTAATTAACCCAGTTCATTCAGTAAATAAATAGGCAAACACAAATCACTTAATATAACAAAAGAGTTTTAAACAGAAGTGAGCCTATGATGATAGATAATGATAGAGAATCACAGAATCACAGAATCACAGAATCACAGAATCACAGAATGGTTTGGGTTGAAAGGGACCTAAAGGATCACCCAGTTCCAACCCCCTGCCATGGGCAGGGACACTTTCCCCTAGATCAGGTTACCCAAAGTCCCATCCAGCCTGGCCTTGAACACTTCCAGGGATGGGGCATCCACAGCTTCTCTGCACAACCTTTTCCAGTGCCTCACCACCCTCTGCATGAAGAATTTCCTCCTAACCTCTAATCTAAATCTCCCCTCTTTTACTTTAAAACCTTTCCCCCTTGTCCTGTCATTTTCTGACTGAGCAAAAAGTTGCTCTACATTTCTTTTTAGGCTATCTTTAAGTAGTGAAAAGATGCAATAAGGTCACCCAGAAGCCATCTCTTCTTCAGGCTGAACATCCCCAGCTCTCTCAGCCTCTCTTCGTTAGGAGAGGTGCTCCAGCCCTCTGATCATCTTCATGGCCCCAGTCTAACAGGTCAATATCCTTCTTGTGCTGGAGGCCCAAGACTTTGATGCAGCACTCCAGGTGAGGCCTCACAAGGGCAGAGGGGCACAATCCCCTCCCTCTGCCTGCTGGCCACCCCTCTGTTGATGCAGCCCAGGATGTAGTTGGCCTTCTGGGCTGCAAGCACACACTGCTGGCTTGAGTTGAGCTTTTGGTCCACCAGAACTCCCAAATCCTTCTCTGCAGGGCTACTCTCAGTGAGTTCTACTCATAATAAGACATAGAGTTTTAGATTATTTTTTTTTATGTAGATTAGTAAATTATTTCCTTGCTCAAAGGTAATAAATATCTGTAATTGCTCTGAACAGTTATACTCAATATAGACAGATTTAGAGGTTGTCTGCCAAACCATTAAAAATACCAATAAAGAACGGGTCAGAACTTAAAAGCAAGAGACTTGTAACTGCCCCAGTTGCAGGCTGCAAGAACCAGCTGTTATGTACTTTCTGTATTGCTCTGCACTTGTCCAAAGACAAGCTGAAATTTCTAAGAAGTTTGTACCCTTATAGAGAAAGAGAAATATAAAGAAACATCACAACCAGCAGAAATGGAGATTGTGGTATGGAGTTTTCAAATGTCCAGGAAAGACTTTTCATGTTAGACAAATTGTTGAACAATGTCAGAGTAATAACTGGTCACCAAATTTTGGATTTAGAATTCCTCTGATATGGTCATGCACAGGGAGGGTATAAAAGTCAAAGATCTCCTGCTCCATGTTTGTTTGTTTTTTTATCCTCTTTGCAATCAGGCTGCAATCAGACCACCTGTAATACGACTATAATTCTCAACAAACATGGACTTTGTGCCAAGAGACAGAGGATATATACCACATACATCAGAAAGCTGTGAGAAGAAAGCACCAAGGACGTTCCCCAGGAAGCACTTGGTTTCTTAGAGTCTCACAAATCTACTGGGACAGGACAGGTATATGCAGCTGTTTCCAGGACAATACAAGAATGTTCACCTCAGTAATCTCCATTCGCTTAATACCTGCTGCAGCTATTAACCATATTGCCTGTGGCTTTTCAGTTAAATAAAACATTGTCAACATATCTTGATTCATGTTTTTGCCTAATATTGGTAAAAAATCCATTACTCTCTTGATACATGTCCATATATTTACGCAATGTAAGACTTCTCCATTAAGGAACATACTTTAAAGGCAAACATTTTCACTTTGTATGTAAAGGGAAAGGTTAGCGAGTTTGTCTGTGCTTTGGAGAAGCAATGTTTATTAAGTTGTACATTTCTGTTGACTGCATACTGAACCGTGCTGCAAAGCTGGAAGAATGACTTGTTCATACCGTTTCATTAAATATATTTTGTTGCCCAGTAGAATTGACAGCTGCTTCCGGCATTGTATTTTGGCCCTACTTCTGCACTGAACTTTATGTCCAGTAAAGAAGATCAACTAGTAGCAGTGCAGAAGTTAAACAAGCTGTCTACAACTACTGTCTGCACTTGCCATACACACTAACAGTGAACATCCAGCCCCTGTGCACTTTTTGGAATTGACTCTCTGTATTCCACACCCTTACACAATCATCTGATTTGACTGTAGCACCTTTCCCCGTGAAATACAAGGCTCAAAGAAGGTTTGGTTTCCAGAAAACAGAAAGAACTACTTTTCTTACTGCAAAATTGTAGTTCTTCAAGAAATTTTGTCCACATATGTGCCACTCTTAAGCCAGACATTGCAAAAGACACTGGGGCAGCCATGTCCCCTGATGCCTTGTGTTCATGAAAACACAAAGGACAGGCAAGGCTGAATCACTCTCAAATTCTCTCATCAGAGGAGACTTCAGGTCCCCCCCCCCCCCCCCCCCCCCCCCTTATTTTTTTAGCAGAGAAAAAGGGCACAATGCAGAATCCACTGACAACACATTTTTAACTATTGACATCTAAGCCAAAAGATACAGTTATTGCCTTCTCTTGTTCCCCTAGAAAACTCTTCCCAGGTGACAGCAATTCACTTCACTCTTTCTGTGCTCACAAAGCCCACGGACTGCATCAGTGCTTGAGCATCAGATGTTCTCTCACATTTCTAAACCATGTTAGTGGTACAGCCCCCATTATGTGCGTAGACCACATGCTTTATCTGTTCCTTCCCCGAGAGGTACACTGTATCAGTAAACAACATCATGGGACCAGGAGAGATGGCCCAATACAAATACTTTAGCCTTTTACTACTGATTTTGTCAGGTCTTTTCAACTCAGCTAGCTCTTATTTCTGGATGAGAAGAACAGACTGCTGTGCTGAACATTGTGTTCACTGTGCTCTCTGCTTACGCAGAAAAGCAGCCTTCCTCCTTCCTGATTTATATTTGAATTTACCTTGTCATCATCAGCTGCATTCTTGTAGCTATTTTGGAAAAGAATTCACTCACATTTGATGGAGAGTATTTTTAAATGAAAGGTCTAAGCCTTCAAGTAACTTTACTGACCCTCAGAATAAATAAATAAATAAATAAATAAATAAATAAATAAATAAATAAACAAACAAACAAAATCAGCTGCCTCTCCTAGACACAGAATCACAGCATGGCTGAGGGTGGGAAGTCATCTGTTAACCTGTCCCTGTTCAAGCAGGGACACCCGCAGCAGGCTGCCCACAACTACGTGCCATCAGGTTTTAAAGATCTCCAAGCAGAGAGACTCCAAAACTCCTCTGGTCAACCTGTGCCAGTGCTTCATCACCAACACAGTAAAGAAGTGTTTCCTGGTGTTTAGACAGAACCTGCTGGTGGTGCTTCCACATTGCCGATGCTGCCAAGAATACCTTCAGCTTTCTTAGCAGCAAGGGCACACTGCTGGCTCGTGTTCAGCTTGGTGTCCACCAGGAGTCCCACGTGGTTTTATGCCAAGCTGCTTTCCAGCTGGGTGGTCTCCAATGTGTGCTGGTTTCTGGGTTGTCCCTCCCCAGGTGCACTTCTTGCACTTCTTGACTTTGCACTTCTCCTTGTTGGACTTCATGAGATTCTTAGCCCACCTCTCCAGCCTGTCAAGGTCCCTCTGGGTGGCTGCATGGCCCTCTGGTGAATCTGCCACTCCCACAATTTTTTGTGTCACTGGCGAATTTACTGAGGGTGTGCTCTACCCCATCGTCTACATTACTAATGAAGATGCTAAACTGACACAGCGTTGACCTTGCTCATACTTCAACAGCTTCTCTCTCAGGATCTTTTGGTAGACTGTGTCAAAGGCCTTACTGAAGTCCAGGCTAACACTTTTCAGTGCTAGATTTTCTGTCTAGAGTTATTTACAGTAGGAGCTTTAGTCTTGTTTTTGTTTTGTGCTTTTTTTTTTTTTTTTTTTTTTTTTTTCTGGTAACCCTCTTTACAAAAATTTGAACCACTTCAGAATTTTTGGTAGAACAGCAAAGTCATATAGCATGTGTGAATATTCCCTCAGCTTTAATTTCCAATAGAGTAATCCTTGCAAGGATTGAAAGGATGCCTATATTGCAATATATTACTCATGTTTTCGTATCTCCAGC